CACCACACAGCATTTTGTAGGCATAACGTTAACTAGCTTGTTCCTTTGCGACTGACGTGAATCAGGTAACGGTTCTAACTCTTCTTTGTATTTTTTTAATGGCTCTTAGCAAACAACTTTTAATGCGCATTACCGCCACCTTCTGAAATGGAGTGTGGATCAAAATAGCCTACTTTACTTACCACTAATTAACTAAATAAATGCATAAAATCTAATAAAATTATTAATATTGATACATTATCATTCACACCATTAGCAATACAATTTTAATAACAAAATAAACTTTTAACCTTCTAATTATCCCTTTTTTTTAAATAAATATTTTTTAATTAAAAAAATTAAATAAATATTGCTCTATGCCTACATGCCCTGAACTCAGTTGTAATATTTCCTTCATTTCAACTCGATTTTTGTCTTTACTTAGCCTAACTTTCAGAATCATTCTTTCCTGCTTATACCTACAAAAATGAATAATTAGGCCTACATGTTCAAATGTTTCATTTCTCTTACATCGCTCACACAACCCAGTTTCATGTTTTCCTATTATTTTAAGTTTAATTTATTTTTTTAATTCATTTAATCCAGTATGCCTAAATATCATTCTCGAAATAATGTCCTCTTCCTTTTTATCTATTTTATTTTCTCTCATTCCTCCTACCTTCTACTGGACATTGTAGAACATTCTCGCCTTTGTTTCCATATACCACTCCTCCTTCTTTTTCATTTCTGCTTTTATTATGCCTTCAACTTACTATAATTTACTGCAATATCCAAATCAGGTACTCAAGATGGCGGCAGACAAGTTTTAGAAGTGAGTGACGTCAGTGAGGAGACGTTGGTGACATCATCTGATATGCATCGATATAAAGTCCGCTCATCTGTGCCGATCAACACCGTTAAATGTCGTTACATCGGTGTGACGTCATTGCTTATGGAGCCAATGCGCTCTGTTTGAGAGACACTCTTTCGTTTAAGACTAAGTTATCTGTCATGATAACATTCCTTAAAAAGAGATAAATTCTACGCTTCATAAATTAATAAGATATGATAAGACAAAATTATGCTTCATAATATCTTTAATTTGTATGGAATTATTGTGTTGTCACTGATTTGACTGCGAGCGCGTGAGCTCCCTCTCACACTCACACTCTATTATTCTCAAGAATGAAAATGCATTATCTATTCATCAGAGCCTTTATAAACTTTGAAAATGTATACCATGAAAATAATTATTCTCTTCTCTCTCTTTTTTTCTCAGTGTTGATTGCCATCTTATTGTTGTAAGTATTAGAAGTCAACCTACATCTCTGATTTGCCAGATTCATCATAACATGCTAATTGATTAATAGATCAATTAAAGCAACTTAATGTGGCAAGTTAACTTAATGAAGACATTAAAAGGATAATTCTTTACAGATAAATAAATAGAATGGAATTGGCTTTATGCACAGCTGCACTACTTCCTGAACTTCAGCCAGCTCCTTTGTTTCCTGTCTGCCATTATTGTACAGACACACCTGGATTAATCAGTTTGTTCAATAATGGCAGACAGGAAACAAAAGAGCTGACTGAAGTTCAGGAAGTGCAGCTGTGCATATTCTACATATCTGATTTGCCAGTTTGATCATAACATGTTAATTAATCATTAATCACTGATGGAGTTAAACACATTTGAATTTATACAGACATATTTTATTCATATTTGGTCTTTTCTCTCATTTGCTTGTCAACAGCATCTACATACACCCCAAAGGCTCTTTTAAGAGCCACATCCCGAGAGCGTCTTTGGCTTTGTGAGTATATATTTTGACTGACTATCAGAATTTGGGTTTAGAACAATCAGAAGCAAAATCATGCATGTTAGTAATGTCTTAATAAAGACATTAAAGGGGCAATTCTTAAAAAAAAAGCAACAAAAAAAAGAATAAATGATTAAATAAATAACAAATATACTGGAATTCTACATACCTGATTTGCCAGTTTGATCATAACATGTTAATTAATCAATAATCACTGACGGAGCTGAACTCATTTGAATTTGTACAGACATATTTTACTCATATTTGGTCTTTTCTCTCATTTGCTTGTCAACAGCATCTACATACACCACAAAGGCTCTTTTAAGAGCCACATCCCGAGAGCATCTTTGGCTTTGTGAGTATATATTTTGACTGACTATCAGAATTTGGGTTTAGATCAATTTAGAAGCAAAATCATGCATGTTAGTAATGTCTTAATAAAGACATTAAAGGGGCAATTCTTAAAAAATACAAATAATAAAAAAAAGAATAAATGATTAAATAAATAACAAATATACTGGAATTCTACATATCTGATTTGCCAGTTTGATCATAACATGTTAATTAATCAATAATCACTGATGGAGTTAAACACATTTGAATTTATACAGACATATTTTACTCATATTTGGTCTTTTCTCTCATTTGCTTGTCAACAGCATCTACATACACCACAAAGGCTCTTTTAAGAGCCACATCCCGAGAGCGTCTTTGGCTTTGTGAGTATATATTTTGACTGACTATCAGAATTTGGGTTTAGATCAATCAGAAGCAAAATCATGCAGCATGTTAGTAATGTCTTAATAAAGACATTAAAGGGGCAATTCTTTAAAAAAAAGCAAAAAAAAAAAAAAAAGAATAAATGATTAAATAAATAACAAATATACTGGAATTCTACATATCTGATTTGCCAGTTTGATCATAACATGTTAATTAATCAATAATCACTGACGGAGCTGAACTCCTTTGAATTTGTACAGACATATTTTATTCATATTTGGTCTTTTCTCTCATTTGCTTGTCAACAGCATCTACATACACCCCAAAGGCTCTTTTAAGAGCCACATCCCGAGAGCGTCTTTGGCTTTGTGAGTATATATTTGACTGACTATCAGAATTTGGGTTTAGATCAATCAGAAGCAAAATCATGCAGCATGTTAGTAATGTTTAATAAAGACATTAAAGGGGCAATTCTTAAAAAAAAAAGCAACAACAAAAAAAGAATAATTATTAAATAAATAACAAATATACTGGAATTCTACATACCTGATTTGCCAGTTTGATCATAACATGTTAATTAATCAATAATCACTGACGGAGCTGAACTCATTTGAATTTGTACAGACATTTTACTCATATTTGGTCTTTTCTCTCATTTGCTTGTCAACAGCATCTACATACACCCCAAAGGCTCTTTTAAGAGCCACATCCCGAGAGCATCTTTGGCTTTGTGAGTATATATTTTGACTGACTATCAGAATTTGGGTTTAGATCAATTTAGAAGCAAAATCATGCATGTTAGTAATGTCTTAATAAAGACATTAAAGGGGCAATTCTTAAAAAATACAAATAATAAAAAAAAAGAATAAATGATTAAATAAATAACAAATAGACTGGAATTCTACATATCTGATTTGCCAGTTTGATCATAACATGTTAATTAATCAATAATCACTGATGGAGTTAAACACATTTGAATTTATACAGACATATTTTATTCATATTTGGTCTTTTCTCTCATTTGCTTGTCAACAGCAGCTACATACACCACAAAGGCTCTTTTAAGAGCCACATCCCGAGAGCGTCTTTGGCTTTGTGAGTATATATTTTGACTGACTATCAGAATTTGGGTTTAGATCAATCAGAAGCAAAATCATGCAGCATGTTAGTAATGTCTTAATGAATAAATTAAAGGGAAAATTTAAAAAAAAATACAAATAATAAAAAAAAAATCTCTGATTTGCCAGTTTCATCATAACATGTTTAATCCATAATCACTGCTGAACACTTTTGAATTTGTACAGACATTTTACTCATATTTGGTCTTTCTGAATAACTGCGCATTCTTATAATTTTAGTTTAGATGTAGCTTTGATATTCATGATAGCATAATTTGCAGCATGCATACAACATTTGTAATGTTAAGTACTTTAATGTTTATGAGTACTATATCTTTTTTTTATGTAATAGTTTTTGCATCATCTTCCACTGTCTCCCCACCTCCTTCACATTTTTTGTCTTGCCACAATTAGGGTAAGTAATATTCTTTATTTCTTTATCTTCATGTTAAGGTGCTCTCCGTAATGTTTGTTTAAATAAACATGCATTGATATATTTAAGAAAACTTTTTTATTTTTTGTTAATATAATTAAAATTCATATAAATTTATACATGTGTGTGTATGTGTGTGTATATATATATATATATAATATATATTATATATATAATACATCGTACTACACACACACACACAGATTCTTGAGGCAATCATCACCAGTATAAAAAAAGATAAATTTGCAATTTGCTGTTTTGCCATTGTTCTTTTCATCTCAGTAAATGAATGGTCGAGGAAACGCCCTTGATATCTCCACCAGATTATCTGTTATACAATGTCTAACCAGCATAACGTACCACAGACAGTAAAATTTACTTTACTTTTCACTACAAAAATGGCTTTCATAATAGTAACAATCAGATTCATGATATTTTTGATATTATTATTATTATTTTTGATATCAGAAATTAACATTTCTACCAGTAGCATTTGAATTCTTCATATCAAGTATAAACATTTGCACTAGTAACCACATGATTACTGATACCAAAAATAAAGTTTTAGAAAAACTTAATAAAGAACTGTATTTCTGATCTGGGAAATTGAAATTTCAACTATTAAGAAATCAATTTTGGATTTAAATAACGGAAGACTTTTTGCTATTAGATGTGGTAAAATATTGCAAAATATGCCAGTACCACATTTTCAACAAGTCCAATATTTTGGATTTAGAATGGATTCAAAAACCAAGAGGCAACGCTATACAAGGCAGTGGAAATATGCACGGAGATCACTGCATGAAAGGTGTATTGGAGAGGAGTCATCACTTCATCCAGTAACACTTCAAGAAAGAATTAATGAAGAACATTATACTGATGAAGAAAATAATACTGATGAAGACAGCTTCTCAAGTGTAGAAATTGGGGTCAGTGGGGAGGACTGCAGTTCAGGACCTCACAGTGTGGCCGATGGGTCCAGTGACGAAAACAGCAATTCAGAATCTGAGTATGATAACAAAGTGGCCCAACTTCATTCTCAACATTTTACAAGA